AGTGCTTCTGTTAACAGGAGGTTTAACAGTTACTGAAGTACTTTCTTTGTAGTTCTTCTGTAATAGGAGGTTTAACAGTTACTGAAGTACTTTCTTTGTAGTTCTTCTGTAATAGCAGGTTTAACAGTCACTGAAGTACTTTCTTTGTATTTCTTCTGTAATAGCAGGTTTAACAGTCATTGAAGTACTTTCTTTGTAGTTCTTCTGTAATAGGAGGTTTAACAGTTACTGAAGTACCTTCTTTATAGTTCTTCTGTAACAGGAGGTTTAACAGTCACTGAAGTACCTTCTTTATAGCGCTACTTGTTAATGGGAAGTTTAACAGTCATTGAAGTACCTTCTTTATAGCGCTACTTGTTAATGGGAAGTTTAACAGTCATTGAAGTGTCTATCTTTTTTATAGTTCTGCCGTCAACAGGAGATTTAACAATCACTGAAGTATCTTCTTTGTAGTGCTACTGTTGAATATATTTTCCTCTAATTTTGATCCATCATATTCAACCTATTTACACTGCTGATTAAAAATATACGATAAAAACACTCTAAGTTACATTTTCTGTCAATAGCTGTGATATGATAAAACATACGACAGTTTATTTTGTATTAGTCATTCCGTAATAAAATAATTTGTTGACTGATTAGTTTTTGCATGGACTGATGTTTTTACTTTTTTACTTTTCTATGTTGATTGTTTTATTATTTATTTTTATCTAGCAGATTTATTATTATTTCTAACCTGAATTTTAATTTAAGAATTTCACTTTTTTTTTAACAAATGTTTAGGCTATAAAATATATCATATATTTATTGTACGTTGGAAATTGCGTTTCTGGTGTAGTTAAATTAATTTAAACCGAGTAACAAATTCTATATTGTAGTATTGATGCGCAAGTAACGTATTCAGTTATGATATTTAAGTTTATTGCATCTTCTTTAAGATCCTGACGATCACTTTCTGAGAGTGCTAAAAATGTCGTTGTACTTCGGCTTGTAATGCTGCTACTACTGGAGCATGATCACTGGTAATTCGTGTAATTGTATAATATTAACGAATCACTTCAGCAAAATGTTTACTGTTTCCATAATTTATATTCATTTTATCTTAGTATGTAAGAATAGCATCACTTATTAAGTTAGATCAAAATGTTCTGACTATCAAGTTTATTTCACTAAGAACCTCGTAATTCGCTGTTCACCTTGTACAATTAATTATGATTGTGAAATGGCTAACACGACAATAAGAAGATATATATATAACATTTTCTTTCTTGCAGTAAGTAGTTTCAGAAAGTTATCAATGTCGATATATTTTATCCTTTTTGAAAAATAATTATTTTAACGATAAAGTATAACTAAAGGTGCTTAATTTTAATTGATGTTATGCATTTGTGGATTATAAATCACATAATTTACTTTCTTATTGGTAAACAATATTGATTTTATTTAGTCAAAGTCACATTTAGATTTGATCCTGCAATAGTCAGAGCTATTTTATAATCAAGTGTGAGTTGAAAACATATAAACGATTCATGAAGCACTGTTTGTGGATAGTAGTAACTTACTGAACAGCACTGTTTGTGGATAGTAGTAACTTACTGAACAGCACTGTTTGTGGATAGTAGTAACTTACTGAACAGCACTGTTTGTGGATAGTAGTAACTTACTGAACAGCACTGTTTGTGGATAGTAGG